AGTTGCCAATGCCTACATGTACATGTCATTTGTTGGAAATCAACAATGACATTTTTTGCCCCCTTTTTGACCTCACATTTCTTAGCCCCCTTTTTGACCTCACATTTCTTACTTGAGATCATGCGAACATCCCAATTATTAAAATAATTTTTATTTTCTTTTACAATATCATCGGGCCAAGGGGTGAGTGTTGTTGTTGATTCCACTTAAATAGTAGACAAAATTACACAGTTAAGATCAATAACATTTAACACAAACATTAATATTAAAACTCAGTACCTGCAAAGTTACGTCTTTGAAACCACCATTGTTGCATTGTTGCACGAAAAAAGTCGATCAACATCAGTATCAGCCCCTTACGTGCATGTCTAGATAATGCATTTATAGACTCCGCACTGTTGGACGACATAAGATTGTATCAATTCGCTTTAAAATGTGTCCTAGACCAAGTTTCAGGATTTATACTTTGTAAGTATTCCCATACCGGTTCTTTTGTCTTTTTCATAAGGTCCATGACAGCATCAAAACCATCGACTATATAGGCTCTACAAGCCTCCTAAAAAATTCCTTTAACTGTCTTACTATTCCTGTATCTAGCTACTATGTTGAAATACAAATACACACCTCATATTCCGTGATGAGCGTGAGGAAAAATGTTGGCAACAGATGTCGCTATAGATGGAGACGAATCAGGTATAATTGTAAGCTCATCCATATTTCCTATGCAATCACGTAGTTTTTTAAAAATCCATGTCCAAAAATCCATACGCTCATTTTTGCATATACCATATACAACCGGTAATATTTGGTTTTGTCCGTCCTTAGTAACTAAAAGTAACATGGTACCTTTGAACCCACCCTTTAGGCGGGCTCCATCTACTACAAGGGTCGACTTACAAAAATTGACAAAAGCGCGTACCTACAATACATTGTATATTTATTCAAATACACTGATTATAGTTAGGTACACCAAAATAAAAATAAAAATAATAAAATATAATAATACTAACCAAGCAACCAAGTGTGACGTACAATAACTCAAACCGATCATCACTATCTGTTTGAATATGTGTCACCATACCCAAATTATGTTTGACCAAATTGTGGAAATAAGCCGGAAGTTTGGTAAAAGAATCCTCTTTCGTACCCCCTTAACAACAACAGTGCATATTGCTTCGCAAGCCAAGCTTGATGGTATGAGATATTGATTTTCAATTGAGAATTCATATCATTAATAATATCTTGTCCCCGATATACTCTACTATAATCTTCATCCAAAACATCAGCAAGATATTCACCCAAAACATATTTGTTTGCTTGTCGATGATTAGGTTGCAAAATTTTTGAAGAACATGTGTGTACGTCAATAAATTTTTTCACTTGGAAAAGTCCGCCCGAATTTTTAATTCCATTTGCTCTTAGTAACCAAGAACAATTTTTCCCAACACACACAACCTCATACCTTGATTTGGTCGATCTACTTGTCCTTGTCTGAAAACCTTCTCGAAGACATTTGTTCCCAATCGCCCGTTTTAGAAGGTCTTTGTTCTTAAATATACTGAAACATTCAATCTTTTGAACATTGATGTCTACCATCTGTGTTGGGATATCATTAACATCAAGTGGACATGCTAGTATAGGGGGCATACCGTAAAAAAGGTTATCGAGAAACTTAGCTTTAACTTCATTACCCAACTCATCTCCATCAGAATTGCTTTCTAAGTCGGTTATATCTAAAGCTACATCAGCAACATCAACATAATCCCCGTAAGCATGTACATTTTTCATCTTTCTAAATGAAAACTTTTTTTCTTTTTACTATTATCTACTTCACCCCTATTCATAACTTTAACTTCTTTTTTTGGGAAAATCAACACAACGACCACCCACGTCATTAAGATATGTACCAACATCATCATCACCAACACACTTGTAATTCTCAGGATCCACATAGTGAATACCTCACATTAACATTTTCAGCAACACTATGAAATTGAGGTACACTAGGAGTCATGAAAGTACCTATTGGCAAGGTTGTAGAACTCGTTACCCGTTACCTGTTCGGCCGACTACCGAGTAACGAGTACTCGGGAGTACTCGCGAGTACTCGGGGAGTACTCGGATTCGGTAATTCATGTAAAAATATTTTTAGGGACATTATATATGTCAAAATCATAAGTTAAAATCATAAGTTGATTGAAATATATAACAAAATTAGATACATATGAATACACAAAAAATGAAAAACACATAGTGGTCTCACTTTGTGAATAACTACTGAAGATTTAAGATATATATGTAGTAATAATCACATGTGTGTGTTAAATAATAAATCATTAAGTATATTATACATATTAATCATCGAGTTGACCGAGTTTTACAACATTGTTCAATTCAGTAAGTGGCCGATCGGGGAGTACTCGGGATTCTATAACTCGCCTCGGTAAAGAGTCGAGTAGCGAGTACTCGGAGGAGTAATCGGCCAACTCTGCGAGTTTTACAACACTGCCTATTGGATTGTTGTTCCCTTTATTGTTGCGTAAGTTAGCAACCGACTCATCTCCACTCTCGCCACCCTCCGTAACCACATCACCTTCACTAGCCACCATAAACACTTTCACACTCCTTCCTCCAATCGATTTGATTACATTGATCAACATTCTAACATTCATGTCTTCAACTATGGCTATATAATGATTCAATTCAGGATGATGGAAACGAAGACTAATTTTATATTTGTC